TTTACATTCTGTTGGCAAATTGCTTTCTAGAATGTTTCATATTACATTTAAAAAGTGGGTTTTACCTTATTGCAAAAGCAAAGATTAGGAGGAAAGTGTTAAATTGGAGGTTTAGCCCTGGCCAGTTTGGCTCAGCGGTTAGAGCGTTGGCCTGCGGTCCGGAGAGACCCGGGTTCGGTTCCCGCTAAGGGCACGTACTTCGGTTGCAGTTTGTCCCCGGCCCTGGTTGGTCGTGCAGGTGGCAGCCACTCGATGTGTCCCTTCACGTCGATGTTTCTCTCTCTCTCTTCCTCTCTCTCCCTCCCATTCTATCTGTACAAAAAAATGGAAAAATATCCTCAGGTGAGGATAAAAAAAAAAAAAAAAAAATTGGAGGTTTATTTTCCATTTACAGGGGAAAGGGGGCTTTTTTATTATTTACACATATTTAATACATGGCAGAGGGGAAGAGACTATTTAGGCTGTAGTCACTCATATCTCTGTGGGCCATGCTTGGGTTACTGCCGTTTTGATTTTATTGAGTACTTCTATCTGTTCAAAAATTTAGAGCAGTTCTCAGCTGCAATTTCTAAAAATATGTCTTAATATCTGGTTACTGTTTTCTCCTATAGACTTTTGTGTAGTAAAATTTATACATTAAAACCAGTAGTCTAAAAAAAAACCAAAAAAACAGTAGTCTAAGAATAAACCCCAAACAGGCCAGCTAAAGAATAAAGCCACTGCCCTGGTCAGTTTGGCTCAGCGGTTAGAGCGTCGGCCTACGGTCCAGAGAGACCTGGGTTCGGTTCCCGCTAAGGGCATGTACCTTGGTTGCAGTTTGTCCCCGGCCCTGGTTGGGTCATGTGGGTGGCAACCACTCGATGTGTCCCTTTCATTCTCTCTCTCTCCCTCCCACTCTATCTGAACAAAATTAAAAAAAAAAAAAAAAAAATGTCCTCGGGTGAGGACTAAAAAAAAAAAAAAAAGAATAAAGCCACTTAAGGTTTAGTCCTAGAGTTTCTCTTAATTCTATGTACCTTGATTAGGGTCTCAAGATTTTAAGGCTCTTGCCCTGGCTGGTTTGGCTCAGTGCTTAAAGCTTCGGCCTGCGGTGCGGAGAGAGCCGGGTTGGGTTCCCGCCAAGGCCATGTACCTTGGTTGTGGTTTGTCCCTGGGCGGGTGGCAGCCACTCGTTCTCTCTCTCTTCCTCTCTCTCCCTCCCACTCTATCTGAACAAAAAATGGAAGAAATGTCCTCGGGTGAAGATTAAAAAAAGATTTTAAGGATCTTGAAATCTATTTAATATCAACTGCATTAAAAAAAATAGTGCTTAAGCCCCAGCTGTTGTGGCTCACTGGTTGAGCGTCGGCCCATGCACCAAGAGGTGGCAGGTTTGATTCCAGGTCAGGGCACATGCTCAGGTTGTGGGCCTAATCTCCAGTGGGGGGCATGCAAGAGGCAGCCAATTGATGTTCCCTCTCATGGGTGTTTCTCTCTCTCTCCCTCTCCCTTCCTCTCTGTTTAAAATCAATAAAGAAAAAAGAAAAAATAGTACTTAAGCCTTGGCCAGTTTGGCTCAGCAGTAGAGCATGGGCCCACGGACCAACAAGGTGTAGGTTCAATTCTGGCCAAGGGCACTACCTCGGTTGCAGTTCGGTCCTGGCTCAAGTCAAGGTCTTACAGAGGCAACCGGTTGATGTATCTCTCTCACATCGATGTTTCTCTCTCTTCCTTTCTCTCCCTCTCTCTCCTTCCCACTCTATCTGAAGATAATAGAAAATATACTCAGGTGAGGATTAAAAATAATAATAATAATAATAATGCTTAAAAGTACTTTAGAGAATAAAATGTCTTTCATCTTTTAAGGTAGGTAGATGACATAATGTACCTTTTATAATGTATACACAATTAATATGAATCAGTGGTGTCAAAATTAAATCAAGACTACTAGTTCACAAATATTTTATAGAATAATTTATTTTTTAAAGATGGGTTTTAAAAGTTATATTGCACTAAATTAACATCTAATTTTAAGTGTATGCAAATTTATATAGAAACAATAACCTATTTTAACGTTTAATTTTTCAGTAAAAAAAATTTAACGCTAGTGTTCACAGTGTCTCTTTTATGTAAGGTTTATCCTCCCTATAAATTTCCCTGTAATCTAAGTTTCTACCCATTTCTTACCTCTTTGCTCTTTGAGAACTTTACAAATTATTTCATGTAATCCTCACAATGACTCTGAGGTACAGCTTATTATTTCTATTAATAGATAAGAAACCCAAAGCTGTTTAAGTAACTTTCCTAAGATCACAGAGAGCATTAGAGCTGATTCAAAACTAAGTAGGAAAAAACTACCCAGAATAATTAAGACTCCAAAGCCCATGCACAGTCGTTATAGTATATCATGTCATGCCATGATATATATATATTTAAAAAAAACAAACCCTATAATTAAAATTTCTTTTCTAAGCTGTTGTTCTCCAGATAACAATGTGTCTTCATGAGGACCACAGTAAATGAATCAAGTAGGAAATAATTAAAAACCAAGAGCTTGCAGTTAATATTCTAAATAAACTTAAAAAAAAAACACCCAAAGTAAAACCACTAACTACCCTAGGTATTCATTGCACGGTGACACCACCAAATATAAGACATGACACTGTTGAAAACACCAAAGACATCATACTGGGTTATTTAGTTCTCTGGAACACTTGTTAATTAGTTTCTTCCTTAACGAAAGTTCTCAAATGAAAAATGTATTTTAGTGAGTCAACATTTCTGCATTGCCAATTGAAGTTTTATCTTATTAAGCATTCAGGTTCTGTATCTTACTGATATTTTGCAATTCAAATTAAGATCAACCTATATTGACTCTTATCAGGTACTGTATTTTTTTATTTGGGTAAGTTTCAAATTAATGATAGTTAAAAATGAATTAATCTATTGACTAACTATATATTTTAAAAGATATTTTGACCAATGAGATATTATCAGTAATTTAAAAATTATCGGAAAAAGAATTTAATTGAAGATTTATTTGAGGTCCAGTGAAATTTAATTCCGGAAATTTCAACTGCTATAACTAAAAAATCATTAATGACTAAAGAAGAATGATGTTTAAAACTGTCAAGTTTCTTTCCACTTCTACCAAATTAAAAAAATATATGGACTAAACGGAAGAATTCAATTAAGCAACTGTTTCAAGCTTCAGGGTATCTAACTTTTTTTTTTTTTTTTTCATCCTCACCCGAGGATATTTTTCCATTTTTTGTTCAGCTAGAGTGGGAGGGAGAGAGAGGAAGAGAGAGAGAGAGAGAAACATCGACGTGAAGGGACACATCGAGTGGCTGCCACCCACACGACTAACAGGGCCGGGGACAAACTGTAACCAAAGTACGTGCCCTTAGCGGGAAACGAACCCGTGTCTCTCCGGACCGCCGGCCGACGCTCTAACCGCTGAGCCAAACTGGCCAGGGCTAACTTTTTTAATGAATGCAATTCTCACCATTACAATGAATCCCATGATTAAATGACCTCTGCTTTTATTTGCCAGCCCAGTCCCTTCCTAGGACTTCAGCACAGAAGTTTTATCATTTTATTCCTCTTACCACGAGGCTATTCTCCCTTATTTGTTCACGTTGGCAAAACTAGTTTAATTTACATCTAAATGATAATGACAGTAATAATAGTTAAAATTTACTAGGTAGCATTTATTTCTTACAGCTGACCCAAGTTAAGGCAGAGAGAAGTTAAGAAATACAGGGGTGGACAAAAGTAGGCTCACAGTTGTTTGTAAGAAAACAGCAGGCAGGTTATGATTATTACAATAGCTTTACTAACTGTTTCGAGTACTCACAACTGTAAACCCACTTTTGTCCACCCTAGTAGCTGAAGCAGTACTGGAACCCGGCCATTTGGTTCCAGAGCCAGAATTCTAAAAATTGAAGATAGTCCTGGTTTCATCGTCATTGCTCTCTAACAAAAGATTGGTTTTCGCTCACAATTGTTTAAACCGCTTGTCATATTCTATGGTTGACTGAACTATCGGGTGTCTACCTAAAATACATCTTTAAACAACTTGTTTTAAAAAACAGTAATAAAAGGAAAGCTTTAGTTGTCTTCACCTGTACACATGCCGCTCTGCCCACAAATTTTGCAATACAGTTCTGCCTGATTCTAAACTGCGGTCTCTTAAAGTACCCCTCTTGGTGCTTTTCTGGCGAATGCCTTAAAAAGTGACTGAAATCTGGATAGCAGCTCTCCATCCATCCTCCCTCAGGAAAAGAACTACATTTAATTGTAATAATTCTTGGTCAAAGGGCGGAGGAGGTGTTATGTAAGTACGCCTTTCCCCTTCTAAATATAAGATATAAAGGTGCTCATAGAGAAAAAAAAACGGAACCCTAAAAAACTGGGCGCAGGGCAGCGCGAAGGACCACACACTGGACGCTCCCGCCGACAGGGTCCAGGTCCTTCTCCGCGGCGGCTGCAAGACACCTAACCTCCTTCTGCAGCCTCCCCGGGACCCGCGAGCCCCGTCCTGGGCTGGGGGTAGTAGGCCTCGCCATGTAGGGCCTGGGAAAGGGCCCGGGAAAGGACCGGAGGCGGGGTGCGGCAGACGCCACCAGGGTCCGGCTGCGGCAGGGGGCGGGGGCCGGGGGCCGGCGGTTGCTTAGGGACTGGGAGGGTCAGGAGGTGATGGAAGGAGGAGGAAAGAGGAAGAAAGGGGGGTTAGGTAATAGCGTCCGGTCCGTCGGCGCAGACAGCTGTGCCAAACCTCCGACTCCCTCAGTCCCGCCGCCGCCGAGAGCTCTATAGGGCGAGGAGGGAAGTCCACAAAGTGCTGAAGCAGAGGGGAGAATAGTCAAAACGAGTCTACTCAACCTCGTCTTGGCTCCGAGGCCCAGCCATGGAGACCAGCACAATGCGCAGGCGCATCCCCTCTGAGCGCGCGCGGCGCGGTACCGTGAGATAAGGCCTCTATCGGCCACCGTCGTTTATTTTCCTTCTGACACGATGTTTTTTGCGGGGGGCGGGGGGTGTATTCCCTCATTTAAATCTCGTCTGGATTTAAAGCGTGAAGCTGCAGGCGAGAACTCACGAAGAATCTCTGTAGAGTGAGGCTCTCCTTGTGAGTATACGTGATAAAGTAAACCCGGAACGGCTTCAGTAATTAAAGCTGAAGACAAGGGAAATATAAAATAAATGCTTGGCTAGTGTCGGGATGTTTTAATGCAAGGTAGATAGCCTGAGGGCAGCGTGGCAAAAAAGACTACAATTCCCAGTGGTTACAGCGTCTGAGAAGCGCTGCTTTCTGGGGGTTGTAGTATCTAAGAGCTGTGTTTGAGGTATCAGGTCTAAAGACAGCTTCTTACATTTAAAAAAGAGATTGCGAGAAAATGCGATTTGAATCGGGCCGTTCTGTATCTTCATACTCGAGCACAGGCCTAAATATATGAAAAGAAATCCGAAAAGATTAAAGGGACACTCCGTCTTTAAGACTGTGCTCCCTAATCGATGATTCCTAAATCTAGGAATAGGTAGTTGATGTGTGTGGGCTGGGCCTCCAGAGAAGGGCCGCCTCGTGGTCTCGCTTGCTGAGGAGGCCGGAGGGAAGAAAGCAGAATCCCAGTCTTGGATTTCAGTTTCTGCTTCCCGGTGCAGTCTAATTTTGAGCCGCCTCTTTTTTTGTATTCCTAAGGGACCAGAGCGCCGGTTGTCTATTATCCCGTACGTTTCTGTGGGAAGTTTCGTGTGTACCCCCGCGATGGCTCAGCTCCAGACACGCTTCTTCACTGACAACAAGAAGTAAGTACGCTCCTTTCCTCTCTCCTCTCCTCTCCCCTCCCTGGGATCTTTTCCAAGGACTCCTTGGGTATGACCTTGCGGCTACCTGTCTTTGATATATTCAATTTTACACCACTCTCCCCCACATACACCTTTTCTTTGGACTCCTCTCTTGACCCTATTTTCGGCAGAAGCGGATACGCACCTTGAGGATTTCTTGGAGACCTACCTCAGATATCACCTCCTTCCTGCAGAGCTTCTCAGACTATATACCATTTAAATTGTGAATTTAATTTAATAAGAATGTAGAAGAGCCATAGGTCTTCAGGCTAGCTTCCCGAATAAAGCATATTATGGAATTGAACATGGACCAAGTCGTTACAGGCTGTTTGCTAGTGGTGTTTCAGTTTCTGAAAACACAACTTCATTGTCTTTTTAAGTAGGTTATAGATGAGGTTTTCCTTAACAAGGCTAGCAAATGGAGCTCTGAAGAGGGGGGTTGGTAGAACTTTTTTGTTTTTTGTTTTATCCTCACCCAGGACATTTTTGCATTTATCTTCAGATACAGCGGGAGGGAGAGAGGGAGTAAGAAAAAGAGAAATATCGAAGTGAGAGAGACACATGGAGTGGTCATCACCCACATGACCCCAACTGGGGCTGGGGACAAACCGCAACAAGTTATGTGCTCTTAGCAGGAACCTAACCCCGGACTCTCTGGTCTCCTGGTGGATGCTCTAACCACTGAGCAAACAGGCCAGGGCAAGAATTGTTTTTTAATAAGAGTGTGAAGTCAATTCAGTTATAGATTTATTTATATACATACTTATATACATACATACATGTGTATGTGTATATATATATATATATACTTCTGTGTGTATACATATGTGTATATATAAACATTTTCAACAATAGTCCCTAGGTCTGTAGCATTCATTTAAAACCTAATCACATTCTTTCTGCCTTTTGGTGTATTTGTAGCTTTATGTGTTGACCTGGTAAATCATATTTACTCCTCTTGTGTTGTTGCTTACAATATACATAAATTGTATACTCAATGCACATGAGTATACATACATAGTCTCAATACTTCACAAGGAATGTGATGATGAAATAGCTGGCCACTAAACATTTTCTAATTGAAATTTTTATCTGTATTATTGATTCACATGAAGTCTTAAGAAATAAATGGACCACTGTATTTTAACCCCTGAGATTGTGTGTGTGTGTGTGTGTGTGTGTGTATTTAGATTCTCTAAAAATATGTAATATGTAGTATGTTTTGGTCAATAAAATGAGGGGGTAAAATAACTTGATTCAATATGTGCATGTGAATCATGCTACTCCTCCCCAACCCCATTGTATTAAAATGGTAAATGAAGAAGGAAAAATTTTAATTTTTATGTTTTTTTACCTTTTTGGAGAACCTAAGTAACTGCTTACTATTTGGGGCATGAAAAATATACAACCATAGCCTTATTACTCAAAGTGTAGTTTGAGAACCAACAACATCAGCATAACTTGGGAGCTTATTAGAAAGAGCAGAATCTCAGCCTCTACCCCAGACCTCCTTATTTAAAATCTACATTTCGACAAGTGCTGAAGCCCCTTTCCACACCCCTGTTGTGGCAAGGAGAGACTTACGTAGCATTTCTTGATGAGCCCTATAGATTCTACTTTAACATCTTTTGAAACTTCAATTTCCCACAAATACAGCCTTAATTCCAGCCTTATGGAGATTTATTTTTTTTATTTGTTACTATTTTTGTATTATCCTCACCCGAGGACATTTTTTTTTTTGCATTTATCCTCAGATAGAGCTGGAGGGAGAGAGCAGGGAAGAGAAAGAGAGAGAGAGAGAGAGAGAGAAACATCGATGTGAGAGAGACACATCAACCAGTCACCATCCACACGACCCCAACTGGGGCTGGGGACAAACTGCAACTGAGGTACGTGTCCCTAGTGGGAACCGAACCCAGGACTGTGGTCTGCGGGCAGTGCTCTAACTGCTGAGCCAAACCAGCCAGGGCTCTTTTTCTTTTTTTGGTAACAGCTTTGAGATGTAATTCACATACAACAGAATTCACACATTTAAAGTGTTCAATTATGCAACCATCACTACAGTTATAACATTTTTCATTACCCTTTAGCTGTTACCCCCAGTCCTTCCACTCTTCTAGCCCTAAGTGGATCACTAATCTACTTGTCTGCAGATGTCTGTGTGGGAACTTAACATGTGGTCTTCCGTGACTAGCTTGAAGAATAATCCATGTTGTAATACGTATCAGTAATTCATTCCTTTTTTAGTTTTTAATCCTCACCTGAGGATATTTTTTTATTTATCATCAGATAGAGTGGGAGGGAGGGGAAAAGAGAAACACTGACATGAGAGAGACACATTGACTGGTTGCTTCCTGCATGACCTGACCAGGACCGGGGACAAACTGCAACTGAGGTACACACCCTTGACTGGAATCGAACCCGCAACTCATTGGTCCATGGACCGATGCTCTAACTGCTGAGCCAAACCAGCCAGGGCAGTAATTCATTCCTTTTTATGTATATTCCATTATATGGATAATATCACATTTTGTTTCCATTGTTCAGTTGATGGAGATTTGGGTTGTTTCTGCCTTTTGGCTATTATGAATAGTATGATGAACATGTGTGTACAAGTTTTTGTGTGTACATATATTTTCATTTCTCTTGGGTATATACTTTGGAACAGAGTTGCTGGATCAATGGTAAGTCCATGTTTAACTTTTTGAGGAACTGCCTGATGTTTCCAAAGAAACTGTACCATTTTATGTTTCCCACCAGCAATGAATAAGGGTTTAATTTCTCTACATTCTCACTAACACTTATTATCTGTCTTTCTTTGGTCACTGTTTACAGCAAAATCATACTTTCTGGAATAGGCTGGCTGGGCAATTTAGTAATTCTTATCTATTGTTTTGTGTACTCCTGCTTTCCTTTCTATCCTTTCACTGTGCATCCTTTCAGACACTGCTCTCCCAATCCTTTTCTCTAGTTGAAATGACCTATGGCTTCTTTGTTCTCCCATTTCATATATTATTTATGACATTATTCTTACATAGTTTCATTGTATTTGATTACCACACTTGAACCCTTTCTGAGAACAGAGACCATGTACGTCTTAATTCATTTTGTTAATCCCATGTAGCAAAATGTCTGACATGTATTAGATACCTAGTAAATGTTTGTTGGATGAATAAATGCACATTCATTAAAATAATCTGTGGATTTAATCTTGATGTTTCATTTCTTTTTTATAGGTATGCAGTAGATGATGTTCCCTTCTCAATCCCCGCAGCTTCTGAAATTGCTGACCTTAGTAACATCATTAATAAATTGCTGGAGGCCAAAAATGGTGAGTATATATATTCTGAAAAGTTAGGAGAGGGCACAGTACCACTAACTACAATAAATCTGATCACATTTTAATTGTATTTCCTTTCTCTGTCCTTATTTTATAATACTGCATGAATTTTATAAAGGTAAAATTTATAAATTATAAGGATTTCTCTACTACATGATACTTTGAAAATGCTCTGAAACAAAAATTTTCAGGGCTGCCATCATCAACCCAATACCCCATGGCTCGGTGATGTGTAGCCCTTCCTTTGGATATCCCTATCCCTTTTCTTTAAATAAAACTATTTTTTTTTTATAGAAAAAAAATTTCAGTTTAATCTGTTTTTAAGGCTATGGAGATAAGGTGTTTTAGATTTAAGAATAAATATTTTAGTATAATGTGATGTAGAGATAATCAAGACATTGTGATTGTCCTGAAGAGGGCTGAGTTGGGTGAGCAGAAAACAAACATGTAGGTGCTTGGGCCCCACTAGCTATTCTTCTACAAAACAAGTGGCAATATCAATATATGAGTATTTATTTTGTTTAATAACAAATGCTAGTATTCTTACTGGTATTTTAAAAAAGTATTTAGGATTCAAAAAATGAACAGATAAAACACTTACAAACATGTAAGTATCAAGTAAAACATTTATAAAGATACAAATACTAGACATATGGTATGGCCCAGCCGGTGTGGCTTAGTGGTTGAGCCTCGACCCATGTTTCAAGAGGTTCAGTTCCCGGTCAAGGCACATGCCCAGGTTGTGGGCCAAATCCCCAGTGGGGGCATACAGGAGACGGCCAGTCAGTGTTCTCTCCCTTCCTCTCTCTCTGAAAATTAATAAAGAAAAATAACAATTTAAAAAGAAAAACATATGCTATATATGAATATAAGTTTTTAGCCCATAAAATTAATATAAATGATATGTGCAACAATACTGATTAAACAAGATTGGCCATAAATTAATAATTGGAGTTTCATGATAGGTATATGAAGGTTTATTATAAAATTTATTCTCCATTTAAAACATTTTTTTTTTTATCCTCAGCAGAGGACATTTTTCCATATTTTGTTCAGAAAGAGTGGGAGGGAGGGAGAGGAAGAGAGAGAGAGAGAAACATCAACATGAAAGGGACACATTGAGTGGCTACCACCCGCACGACCAACCAGGGCCGGGGACAAACTGCAACCGAGGTACAAGCCCTTAGCAGGAACCGAACCCGGGTCTCTCTGGACCACAAGCCGACACTCTAACCGCTGAGCCAAACCGGCCAGGACCATTTAAAACATTATTTTAAAATATTTTTAAATTATTTTTTAGAGAGAGAGAAACATCGATGTGAAACAAATACATCAATCAGCTGCCTCCCACATGCCCCCACTGGGGATTTGGCCCACAACCTGGGCATGTGCCCTGACTAGGAATCAAACTGGAACCTCTAAATCCATGGGGCAATGCTCAATCCACTGATTTACACTAGTCAGGCTATTCTCCATTTTTGCATATGTTGGAAATTTTCAATAAGATGGTTTTGAAAAAGTAGAATCCTACATGAAATAGAAGATTTAAATATAAAAAATTGAAAATAACATAAAGTGTGATCTTTAAAAAATAAAGTTTGTCAATAGAGACACCATTGAGAGGCAAGCATGTTTTTTTTAAATAGTTTTTTTCTTTATTGATTTTAGAGAGGAAAGGAAAGAGAGAGAGAGAGAGAGAAATAGAAACATCAATAAGAGAGAATATCAATTGGCCACCTCCCTCATGCCCCCCACTGGGGATCAGGTCCACAATGTGGGCACGTGCCCTAACCGGGAATCTAACTGGTGACCTTTTGGTGCATGGATCAACACTAACTGCTGAGCCACACCGGCCAGGAGAGGCAAGCATGTTTTTAAGCAGATGTTTCTGATGCTTCAAAGTTCTTTTGATTTTACCCTAGTTGGAGGAATGGGGAGGTGAGAATTATAAACTAATGCCTAATATTTTCCCCTTCATCTTCAAATAATCTCCTTTTTTGTTAAGTTTTAGATGATGTTTTTGGACAACTTTTCCAGGAGACAGAGTCAGCAATCTTTTCATTGCCAGCAAGCTCTAGTTCTTGATTCAGAGATATTCACATAGCATATCCTATCGGTCCTTGTCTTTACTTTCATCATGGATGTCTAGAGATTCTGATGCATACTTTTCTAAATTTCAAAAATGTCAAAGATTCTACCAATGTAAAAAGTCTTTGAACTAGAATAAGAATTCTTGAAATAGAAGCTTTGCAATACCATTACATGGTTGATTGTTATCCAAATATTTGTATATTTTCTAAATTTGTGGATGAACATTGGTTTGTCTTTTTGTATAAATCAAATAACTGAGTCATGCTCTTGAGTTGAAGATGCAAATTATTCGGATTTCAGATTTTTTAAAAGTAACAATCCAGATAGTCAATAAAGCAATTCTTATTTCAGAAGGACTATCTCTAATAAATGCAGAAAGAATAAAGATATTTTAGCATATTGTAACTCCAAATTAAAGAATGAATTTAGGTAGTGATTATCAGTAGCTGCTAAAACCATTAATTAGGTGAAAGGCTGATAGAGAACATAATGGGTGGGATCTATTGACATCATCTGAGCCCAGAGGTGGATCTTAATATAAAAAGAGACACAAGATAACGTGCTTCTTTTTTTTTTTTTTTTTTTTTTTTATTTTATTTTTTTATCCTCACCCGAGGACATTTTTTTCCATTTTTTTGCACAGATAGAGTGGGAGGGAGAGAGAGAGAGAGAGAGAGAAACATCGATGTGAAAGGGACACATCGAGTGGCTGCCACCCGCACGGCCAACCAGGGCCGGGGACAAACTGCAACCGAGGTACATGCCCTTAGCGGGAACCGAACCCGGGTCTCTCCGGACCGCAGGCCGATGCTCTAACCGCTGAGCCAAACCGGCCAGGGCGATAACGTGCTTCTTGATGTGGTGCAATAGGAAATATATAATACTATAGTTATTCTTACCTGCTCCCCACACCAAAAGGGGCAAACCTGAAATCTAATCAAAATTGTTTAGGTCTACCTCATGTAATCAACCAAACCCAGAATGTAAGAAATATTTTTAAAAACACAAATGACCCGGTTTCTTCAACAAATAAATGAATGGCAAGGGAAATAAACTGTTAAAGATTACTATTATAAGATATATTATTATAAGATATATTATTATAACATATTAATCAAATATAATTTTTTGGACTTTGGATGCTAATTCTAAAAAGCTTACTGTAAAAATATTTATTAAATAAGGAAATATGCCCTGGCCAGTTTGGCTCAGCAGTTATAGCATTGGCCGCAGACCAGAGAGTCCCACGTTCGGTTCCCACTAAGGGCATGTACCTTGGTTGCAGTTTGTCCCTGGCCCCGGTTGGGGTCGTGTGGGTGGCAACCACTTGATGTGTCTCTCTCACATTGATTTTTTTTTCTCTCTCTCTTCCTCCCTCTCTCTCTCTTCCTTCCTCTCTGCCTCCTGCTCTATCTGAAGATAAATGCAAAAATATCCTCAGGTGAGGATAAAAATAAAAAATATAAATAAACAAGGAAATATGAACATTGACTATTTCATAGTCAAAGAAATAATTAAAAACTTTAACATGTGAGTTTTTAAGTGTTTATATTGTAGAAATTCATACTAAAGATTTACAGATGAAATGATACCATATCTGAAGTTTGTTTTAAAATAAAGCAGTGGGAGGAGCCTACTTTCTATGTTCTCTTCTAGGATTTTTATGATATCAGGTTTTATGATCAAGTCTTTAATCCATTTTGAGTTAGTTTTTATGCATAGTGCTAGATAGTGATTCAATTTCATCCTTTTGCATGTGGCTGTTCAGGTATCTCAACCCCATTTATTCCACTGTCATAAATTAATTGACCATATATATTGATATGAGGGTTTAACTCTGTACTCCCTGTTTTGTTCCATTGATCTATATGTCTGTTTTTATGCCAATTCCATGCTGTTTTATTACTGTAGCTTTGTAATACAGTTTGAAATCAGGGCACATGATGCTTTCAGCTTTGTTCTTTTGTTCTCAAGATTTGTTTGGTGGTTTGTGTTTTTGTTGTGTGTCTGTGTTTTCATACAAATTTTAGGGTTGTTCTGTTTCTGTGAAAAATGCCATTGGAATTGATAGGGATTACATTGCATTTGTAGATTACTTTAGGTAGTATGGATATTTTAACAATATTCTTCCAATCCATGAGTATGGAATAACTTTGCATTTATTTGATCATCTTCAGTTTCTTTTCAATGTCTTATAGTTTTCAGTCTTTTATCTCCTTGATTCAATTTATTTCCAGGTATTTTTTATTTTTTTATGAAGTTGTAAATTTGATTATTTTTGCCTTTCTGATAGTTCATTATTAGTGGATAGAAACACACAAAAAAAATTTTTTTTTGTCCTCAGCCTGAGGATATTTTTTCCATTGATTTGTAAAGAGAGTGGAAGGGAGAGAGAGAGAGAAAAAGAGAGAGAGAGAGAGAGAGAGTCATCAATTGGTGTGTCCCCAGTCAGGGCTGGGAATCAAATCTGCAACCTACGTGCCCTTGACTGGGAATTAAACCCACCATTCTTTGGTCTTAGAGCTGACACTCTTAACTGCTGAGCCAAACCAGCTAGGGTGAATTTGTTTATTCCAAAAGTTTTTTGGTGGGCCCTGGCCGGTTTGGCTCAGCAGTTAGAGCATCAGTCTGCGGTCCGGGGAGACTTGGGTTCAGTTCCCGCTAAGGGCACGTACCTCGGTTGCGGTTTGTCCCTAGTCCTGGTTGGATTGCGTGGGAGGCAGCCACTCGATGTGTCCCTTTCACATCAGTGTTTCTCTCTCTCTTCCTTTCTCTCCCTCCCACTCTATCTGAACAAAGAATGGGAAAATGTCCTCGGATGAGGATAAAATAAAAATGTTAAAAAGTTTTTTGGTGGAGTCTTTAGGGTTTTCTATACATAATAAGTCATCTGCAAATAGTGACAGTTTTATCTTTTTCTTTACGATTTGAATGCCTTTTATTTCTTTTTCTTGCCTAATTGCTCTGGTGAGGACTTCCAGTACTATGTTGAATGAATATGTTGATGGTGGACACCCTTAGCTTGGGCTTGTCATACATGGTCTTTGTTATGCTGAGATACATTCCCTCATTTTATGCATTTTGGTGCTATATTCTGAGGTGCACACGAATTAAAAATTTTTGTATTTTCAAAAATAATAGTAATAATAAAGCAGAGGGGGAGTGGGGGGAGGAGTTTAGATGATTGTCCATGAGGTGGTAATTGTCAAAGTGTGTGATGTGGATGGGGATTCATTATATTATTTCTAATTTTGTATATATTTAAAATTTTTCATAGAATAAAATGTGTTTTTTTAATCTAAATAATTATACCACCAAAAATAACACAACAATTTACCAATAGAATAAAGTGTTTCTGTTCTTAAAAATCAGCCCTGGCCGGTTTTGCTCAGTGGTTAGAGCATCAGCCCACAGACCAGAAAGACCTGGGTTCGGTTCCCGTTAAGGGCATGTACATCAGTTACAGTTTGTCTTCGGCCCCAGTTGGGGTTGTGTGGGTGGCAGCCAGTTGATGTCTCTCTCACATCGTTTCTCTTTCTCTCTTCCTCCCTCTCTCCCTCCCCGCTCTGTTTGAAGATAAATGCAAAAATGTCCTTGGGTGAGGATTAAAAAAAAATCACATAATATATGGGATACATGGCCGGATTATGCCATGGAGAAATTCTGGAGAAACTGAGAGGCCGCACTGGGTACATAGGTACCTGTTTTTGGGGGGTTCTCTCATATATACCTCTGCCAATACCACTTCAGGTCCTAAGAGTGATACTTTTGTGTTTTCTTTAGAGGTCCACAAACATGTGGAGTTTGATTTCCTTATCAAGGGCCAGTTTCTGCGAATGCCCTTGGTCAAACACATGGAACTCGAAAACATCTCATCGGTAAGTGCAAGTGCTTGTTTACTCTCTTTTACTTAAGTTATTATCAGATAATGTAGGTAAACTCCATTTAGAATCAGACTGAATCTGTAGTAACCAATATCCTTTTTTTTTTCTTTATTGATTTTAGAGAGAGAAAAACATCGATGAGAGAGAACATCGATTGGTTACCTCCTGTATGTCCCCCACTGGGGATTGGGCCCATAACCAGGGCATGTGCCCTGACCAGAAATCGAACCAGTGACCTCTGGTGCATGGTTCAGCACTCAACCACTGAACCACACCAGCCAGGCACCAATATCCTTTTGATTATTGTTTTTTTCCTAGAAATTTAGTTTTCTATATATGCAAGTTTGAAATGCTCTCTCCTAAGAGTGTATTATTCAAGAAATACAGATAAATGAATATGGAAAGATACCTCCATATTTGTGGAAGAACTTTCAAGAAAGGCAATAGCAAATATATGTTTAATACTCATAAAGGTGTACAAAATGATTCTGCACATATAACAACTTATTGTTTGTTTAGGTCATTGTGATTTAGAATGGTTTTTCTCACCTCTAATTTTTCAACTTAATATTGCTTTTATCATTTAAAATATAATTTTGGGAGTTTTTAGAACTGTAAAATACATGTAAAATTTATCATTTTTACCATTTTTTAAGTTTATAATTCAGTGGCATTAACAACATATCACAATATTATGCAACCATCACAGCTATCCATTTCCAGAACTTTTCATCATCCTAAACAGACGCTCTGTACCCATTTAACAGTGTGCTTTTGTGATTTTATAAAGTTTCTCATGTTCTTTTTTCCCCCACTTTTAGCATAAGTTTTCCAAGGTCATTAATATTTCTTAATGTTACTCACAGCATACTGTTACAAATAAAGTTTTTCACCTTTTGTATGGCTCCAAACTTTCTGGGTTATAAAGGGGACAAACATGAAGGAGATGTATTAAACTGGAGGTCCTTTATCTTCATAATGTACCATTTTAAGACTGCACCACCTGACTGATTTCTTGTTTCTCTATGTGATTAGGAAGAAGTCGTGGAACTAGAATATGTGGAGAAGTACACTGCACCTCAGCCAGAGCAGTGCTTATTCCATGATGACTGGATCAGTTCAATCAAAGGGGCAGAGGAATGGTATTGCCAGTTGAATGTTCTTATATCCCTTTTCTTATGCCAACTCCATTAGTCTTTTTAAGTGCACAATGGGAATATTCTTCTCTGCTTTCTCTGTTCTTTGTAAAAATAATTTATATGTCTATCAGTGACGATGCCTAAGATTTTTATATTCACTATAGTCAAGAAGAAACATGTCTATTAGTAAGTTTTCTTTTCTGTGTCAAAATATAGTGACATTTGTATTCTGAATAGGTCAAGTGTCAGGGCATTTATTTGATTTGAGTTATGTTGCTTTGAAGACCAAGGATATGGAGGGGACAAAACCCTTTTATAGTCATATTTCTCCTGGCCTATCATGAAGGTGCAGATCATGTAATTTTGGGACTAAAATGGGCAGACTGGAATCAAGTTATGGATGGCTCAGAACAAACCCCCATTAGCCTTACCTGTAAAAAAACACCTCAAGAGTGGTGTATAGTGGTAGCTTATGTTCTAAAAGTGTCTCCTTGGAGTTTTTACATCAAGTTATGCTTCTACTGGTTTTACTTTAAGTGGTTTTACTGTTTTTCTATTTAATGGTTTTCACTGGTTAAATACAAAGGACTATTAGGCTAAACAAACAACGTACTTAGCTTTCCTGACAGTTGTAGTATTTATAACAATAGGAAAAATGAAATCTAGGATTTGTCAGTTATGTTTTTATTTTTAGCAGGTCAGGAAAAGCCAAATGTAACATCTTGTGTTATATACTCTATTGTATTTTGAAATTTTAATCTTCATATTAAAGGAGAGTTTAAAGGTATAATCCTCAAGATTGACTTTGTCATTACCTTAGAAAAACAGAATTGATTTTAGGGTTTGAAAAAGCCTTTTGTATTTCATAGGATTTTTTTTCCTCCTCCCAGGATCTTGACTGGTTCTTATGATAAGACTTCTCGGATCTGGTCCTTGGAAGGAAAATCAATAATGACAATTGTGGGACATACAGATGTTGTGAAAGATGTGGCCTGGGTGAAAAAGAGTAAGGACTCTTCCTAAATTGAGAGAAATCCTGGATAGAGATGGGAAATAAGCCATTTTTGGTACTGGGGCGGAATATGGACAGGGTAGGAAATGTCTCATGCCTCAGTCATTGTGAGGTCTTTCAAAAATACAGTGTTCAAGAAGAAAAGGATTATATAAAAAATTCATACATTAGTAGAAGTGAAGCCTTACTAAAATTATATCATATAATAGATATTTGTAAGTTAAGATTGAGTGTGTTAAACTCATTTCTTTTATAGTATTTTTGAAGAAGCTTTCCTTTATACTATAAGTTAGCTTCTTTTTCAAAGCTGGACATATGAGCTTATTTTATCTTTTTTATTGTTATTATTGTTAATCCTTACCCAAAGATATTTTCCATTGATTTTTAGACAGAGTGGAAGGGAAGGAGGGAGGAAGGAAGAGGGAAACATCAATATGAGACACACATTGATTAGTTGCCTCCTGCACAACCCTGACTAGGGCTGGGGATCGAACCTGCAACCCAGTTACGTGCCCATGACCAGGAATTAAACCTGAGACTCTTCAGTCTGCGGGCCAAGGCTCTAACCATTGAGTGACACTGGCCAGGATTTTTTTTATCTTTTTAATGTTTTTCTCAATAACAAACTCAATTCTTTGGTGTCAGAACATGGTATATTTAAAATTTTTGTACTTGTTTCTTATTCTTGTGTTCTCTTTTTTTTTCAGACAACTTGTCTTGCCTACTACTGAGTGCCTCTATGGATCAGACTATTCTCTTATGGGAGTGGAATGTAGAGAAAAACAAAGTGAGAGCCTTACACTGCTGCAGAGGCCATGCTGGAAGTGTGGATTCTATAGCTGTTGATAGCACAGGAACTAAAGTAAGTAGCTGTTGTGTTATCAGTACTGTGTTTTTAGACTTTGAACTTCTTATGCAAAAATTTTTTTCTGTCACTGTGATTGGCCTACTTTCATAACAATTAGTGACTAAAGAATATGTTTTCATAAGCACAATTTTTTTTTTTTTTTTTTTGGTACATGCCCCTAGCGGGAACCAAACCCGGGACTCTCTGGTCCGCAAGGAATATGATTTCAAACCAAAAAGTAAATAGGCATACAATAAAAGCTACAGAGATTCACTTTTTCAGTCTCGGTATCTCTGGTTTAGAATTTTATATAAACTGCAGAAATTTTAAGAAATCAGGTAAATAAGCAGTTTCTTTATGTAACTTTAAATCGTAGTGGTTGACATTTTAATTCGTTCAGCTACTCACAGTGCTGTCATCAACTGAAAATGTCTAGTTGGTCATCTAATAAGCCTTAGCATACACTAAGGTTAGTGTTAATAGAGGTTGTTTTACTATTGTTGCAGATCTCTTTATCATGATAAAGTGGCAAAAGGTAGTTCAAAGGAAACAAACCTGAAGGCAACACTTGTATTGACTTATGAGGGATTACAGACTCATGTGAAAGTTCCCTAAACCACTGTGAAGTATTCTGAATTTAAGAGTGTTTCTTCAGCCTTGGCCAGTTTGGCTCAGCAGTTGGAGCGTCGGCCTACAAACCAGAGAGTCCCGGGTTCGGTTCCCACTAGGGGCACGTACCAAAAAAAAAAAAGTGTTTCTTCAGCACTTCTTTGTCAGTTAGTGTAACAGAGGACATTAGATGCATTCAAAGTTAAATATTTATGATTATTCATATTTGAGCCATCAAGAAGGTTTACATGTTGTCAAGTCCAAACTTAAGTGAATTAATCGTAACACTGTCTTCTGGCTACGTAAGAGACAGTAACTCATCTTGAATTTTTTTTCAGCTTAAAGATCATGATATCCAAGGAAAGGTTGAACAGCCACATCAGCAGCAGGGTGCATTTGGGTTTCAGGAACCAAGGATGGAGGCTTGAATGTGGCCAACATACCCCTCCCTCTCATCTACATAGTTGATGTTATTCTGTCTTAACCTCAGCTGACTTTTTCCATGTGGCAATATAACCTGGCCTCCATTATTCCCAGGATTTACATTCTGAACCATCTGTCCCTGGAAAAAGACTTAACTCACTCTCTGGAATATAAGGTTTTTTTTAAAGGGTCCTGAAAGAGAAAGAGATCTATTGGCGTAGTGGAGGTCAGTTGTCCACCCTGTTCTAAGCAACCATGGCTAGGGCACTGGGCCATATAAGAAGGGCAGCTCCTTCAGTTGCCATGAGATCGAAGGTACAGCTTTCAGGAGACTAGGAAGACAGGCAGATTATACCATAGTAGTAAGGATTTCAGAGCAAAGTAAAGGTTTTAAATTAAAAAATATATATATATATATATCTTTTTTTCCCCTCATATATATCTGTTTAGTTTTGCAGTGGCTCCTGGGATAAGATGCTAAAGATCTGGTCTACAGGTAAATCATATATTTCTTTTACTTTGACTTATTAATAATATTACAAGAATTTCAGTGAGTTCTTTTTAAACCACATTTTACTATAAAAATGAACCAGGGCTTTGTGGCATACAAAACATCATAATATAGAGAAAAATTAGTATATTTCTTTGTATTTCAAAAGGTTTTTCTACCCCGCCACCCCCTTATTTATTGGACAATGTCACTGAATTGCTACAAGTGTAAACAACATGTTTGGTGCAATGGGACATAACTATCTGAATTCTCTTATTCAGGAATCTGGAAAAAAAAAATATTTTTTTGCATTTATCTTCAAACAGAGCGGGAGGGAGAGAGAGGGTAAGACAGAGAGAGAAACATTGATGAGAGACAGACACATCGACTGGTCGCCACCCACAAGACCCCAACCGGGGCCAGGGACAAACTGCAACCAAGGCACATGCTCCTAGCGGGAACCGAACCTGGGACTCTCCGGTCAGCAGGCCGACGCTTTAACCACTGAGCCAAACTGGTCAGGGCACAAAAATATCTTTTGTGTAATTTTTTTTTTTTTTTTATCCTCACCCAAGGACATTTTTTGTTCAGATAGAGTGGGAGGGAGAGAGAGAGAAACATTGATGTGAAAGGGACACATCGAGTGGCTGCCACCCGCACAACCCAACCAGAGCTCAGGACAAACTGCAACTGAGGTACATGCCCTTAGTGGGAACCGAACACAGGTCTCTCTGGACCGCAGGCCAACGCTCTAACCGCGGAGCCAAACTGGCCAGGGCTCTTTTGTGTAATTTTGATACACTTTACTATTAGAAAAATTTTCTTTAAAATTAAGCTGGTTTACTTAAAAAACAAACAAACTTTTATTATTATTATTTAATTCTCAGTCGATATTTTTTCCATTTATCTTGAGACAGAGTGGAAGGGAAGGAGAGGGGGGGAGAAAGAGAGAGAGAAACATCAATGTGAGAGAGAGACATCGATTGGTCGCCTCCCACACGACCTGCTGAGCCAAACCGGCCAGGGCAACAAACAAACTTTTAATACAGTTTTACCAAACTTCTTACTTTGAAAACAGATTAGAAGGAACAATTAGAGGAGGAGTAGGGAGGACTCTCAAAAGAAAGGTGCCTTGATATTAGAAAGGTGAAAAACTCACAGATACTTAAATTTTAAAAATAGTAGTCTAGAACTATTTACTACACAGGTAAACAGATCAGAATACCTGTTATTCCTGAGGTAATTGATGTGTTACAGTGTAATAGGCTAAATTCACAGAATTGGGGGGATCAGGAAAAGTTTAAAGGGTTTTAAGTAATTATGTGTAAGATGGCAGTAAATATATAATCCATTTTATAATCCATTTTAGTTGATACAAAACATTAAAATACATGGTTTTCCAGGCCAAATGATGTATGACAAAAGTTTTGTTTTTGTTTTGAAATTTTTTCTTTTTTTATCCTCACCCGAGGACACTTTTCCATTTTTTGTTCAGATAGAATGGGAGGGAGAGAGAGAGAGAAACATCGATGCACAACCCAACCAGGGCTGGGGACAAACTGCAACCGAGATATGTGCCCTTAGTGGGAACCGAACCCAGGTCTCTCTGGACCACAGGCTGACGCTCTAACCGCTGAGCCAAACCAGCCAGGGCTGTTTTGAGATTTTTTTATTTAGCAATGGCCAGTTTTGCTCATTGGTTAGAGCATAAGCCCGCAGACCAATGAGTCGTGGGTTCAATTTCAATTAAGGGCGCATACCTCAGTTGCAGTCATCCCCAGCCCTGGTCAGTTCATGTGGGAGGCAACCAGTTGATGTATCCTTTTCACATCAGTGTTTCTCTCTCTCTCTCCCTTCCTCCCACTCTATCTGAAGATAAATGGAAAAATATCCTCGGGTGAGGATTAAAAAACAAAAAAGATTTATTTATTCTTAGAGAGGAAGGGGGGGGGAGAGAGAGAGAAACATCAATCAGCTGCTTCCCACAGGCCCTCCCCACCCCATTAGGCATCGAGCCTAAAACCTGGGCATGTACCCTGACTGGGAATCAAACCCACATCCTTTCAGTGCACGGGATAATGCCCAACCAACTGAGCCACACCAGCCAGGGTCAAAGTTCTTTAAAAAATTATTTTTTCTTGCCCTGGCCAGTTTGGCTCAGCGGTTAGAGCGTCGGCCTGTGGTCTGGAGAGACCCGGGTTCGGTTCACGCTAAGGGCACGTACTTCGGTTGCAGTTTGTCCCCGGCCCTGGTTGGTCGTGAGGGTGGCAGCCACTCGATGTGTCCCTTCACGTCGATGTTTCTGTCTGTCTCTCCCTTCCTCTCCCTCCCTCCCACTCTATACAAAAAATGGAAAAATATCCTCGGGTGAGGATTAAAAAAAAAAAAAAAAAAATTATTTTTTCTTTATTGATTTTACAGAGAGAGGAAATGAGAGGGAGAAACATCAATGAGAGAGAACATCGATTGGCCGCCCCCTGCTTGCCCCCCACTGGGGATTGGGCCTATCACCTGGGCATGTGTCCTGACCAGGAATCGAACCGGCGACCTCTTGGTGCCTGGATCGACACTCAACCACTGAGCCACACCGGCCAGACCAAAATTTTTCTTTTACCAAGGAAAAATAACTATCTTTGAAACACTTAAATTCATTGTTACAAAAGTAAAAGAAGAAGAATAAATATGGCGGGAATGTATGTCCTTTTAACATGTGTTTATCTTGTGGCATTCCCTTCATAATGTAAATGCAATCTGGTCAACTAATAGTTAGCAGTTTTTCATAGATATGGTAAAGTAATGCATATTCATAATGATCATAAAGATATAGCAAGATATCAAACTGGTTAGGTTGTAGGATTTCAATGTACTTTCCTTTTTACTTTCTCCTTTTGAAATATTGGTAACCCAGGTATTGTTTTTATGTATAATTTTCTACTAACCAAAATAACTATTCCTTGTCCAACTGAGATAGTGTGAAGAAGGTATATACCCAGAAATGTAAGAATTCTTTGAGACTATTTGCAATTAATGTTAACCATAATTTAAAAAAATATCAAATTGAATTCTCTATGATACAGTCCCTACAGATGAAGAAGATGAAATGGAGGAATCCACCAATCGACCAAGAAAGAAACAGAAAACAGAGCAATTGGGACTAACAAGGGTGAGTATTTGTGAGAACTGATATAGTTGGCTTAGGTGTATATTGACAAATATAAGGTCATTTAATATAATCCTTCCTATTTAAATTTCCTTTTGTTTCACCTTGCTTCTTGAACCATAATTAAATTTCCTTTCAGTAGATTTCTAAATTTTCTTTAGAAATAGTCCTTTACTATGCTACATTTATCTAGACATTGGATGTAGTAGTATTGAGTCAGGCTCATAGATTGGTAGGTTAATTATTTAGCTATTATATTTGATCTCATGGTACATTTTGAAACATGATCTTTCATTTGGTAAAGCTTAAACTAAAATTAGGTGAAGCATCTCATTACCTAACTCTTTAATAATAAGTGTTTCATACACTGAGGATGTCATTTTCACTAGGGATGCTTGTTGTGTCACCTAAATCAGTAGAAACCAAGAGTTTAATTGGAGTTTTGATTTCATCACTTAGCTACTAAATCCAATTAAATCAAACTCAGAAATTTCATCCAAATCTTGTTCTGTTAAGTTAGAAAGATTTTTGTCATAACATGATCTGACCTGTATTAATTAATACACTTAATGAATGAAAAGGACAGTACTGAGTCAGGTTTAGAAAAACATTTTTCATTTCTAACAGCTGTAATGAATGTGCAGTAAGTGAAGCACACATTTGCACATTTTTTCTTAGGGTCACCAATAAGATTTATAAAAACTATTGAAAATGAGGAAGAAAGTATGATCATAAATGATTCATCAAACTCACATAAAATGCAATGAACAGGAGCACTTACTGGTTCCAACTGAAAGCAGTGATTTATAATTGAATACATTTAAACATGGGCTGCTTGCCCGGCCAGTATGGCTCAGTGGTTGAGCATCGACCCATGCACCAAGAGGTTGCTTGATTCCGGGCAAGGGCACATGCCCAGGTTGTGAGCCCAATCCCCAGTGGGGGTCATGCAGGAGGTGGCCAATCAGTGTTCTTTCTTATCGATGTTTCATTCCCTTCCCCTCTCCTCAAATCAATAAACTAAAAGTAAAAAAATAGTAATTTGTTAAAAAAAATAAATAGGCACAGGCTGCTGAAATGCAAGAGGAATGATCTGGCAGCAATTCAACTTCCTTATCACTTAGTTTAGGAGGACAAATTAGAAACTGTAAATGCCTTGCCATTTTGAATATTGTGCCAGTTGTAACTTATTGATGCATATCCTTGATATTGCAAACTCTAAAGAATATATCTGAGAAGAGAATTTCTAGAATTGTAAAAATTCTTTACATGGGAGGTAGCTTTTCTGAAACTTTTTTTCTCAATCCTTTTTATTTATTTTTATTTTATTTATTAATTTATTTTTGTTACAGATGTTTCTTCTTATTCCTCTGATTGACACCCTCCTCCCCATCCCCAGCTTTGTTATCTACGTCCATCAGTTATGCATACATGCATATAAGTTCTGTAGTTTATCCCTTCCCTCTCCCTCTCCTCCTCTTCTGAGGATTATCAGTCTGTACCCTACTTCTACGACTCTGGGTCTGTTTTGTTCATCACTTTGTTTAGTTCATTGTATTCCAGAAATAAGTGAGATCATGTGATATTTGTCTTTCTGTGCTTGGCTTGTTTCGCTTAGGATAATACTTTCCAGGTCCCTCCTTGTCGACTCAAAGGATAAGAGATCTGCCCTGGCTGGTTTGGCTCAGCAGTTAGAGCGTCAGCCCACAGTCCAGAGAGACCCTGGTTTGATTCCCGCTAAGGGCATGTACCTCAGTTGCAGTTTGTCCCCGGCCCCAGTTGGGGTCATGCGGGAGGCAGCCACTCTATGTATCCCTTTCACGTCGATGTTTCTCTCCCTCCCTCCCACTCTATCTGAACAAAAATGGAAAATGTCCTCAGGTAAGGATTTAAAAAAAAAAAAAGATAAGCTGCATAGTACTCCACTGTGTGTATATATGTGTACCACAGCTTTTTTTATCTACTCGTCTACTGACGGGCACTTGGGCTGTTTCCAGATCTTAGCTATTGTAAATAGTGCTGCTATGAACATAGGGGTACATATATTCTTTCTGATTGGTGTTTCAGGTTTCTTAGGTTATATTCCTAGAAGTGGGATCACTGGGTCAAATGGCATTTCAGTTTTTAATTTTTTGAGGTAACACCATAGTGTTTTCCATAGTGGCTGCACTAGTCTGCACTAGTACTAGGGTCCCCTTTTCTCCACACCCTGGCCAGCACTTAATTGTTTAATGATTTGTTGATGGCGGCCATTCTGACAGGTGTGAAGTGATACCTCATTGTTGTTTTAATTTGCATCTCTGATAATTCGTGAATGTTGAGCATTTTTTCATATCTCTCTTGGCCATTTGTATGTCCTATTTGGAGAGGTGTCTCTTTAGGTCCTCTGCCTATTTTTAATTGGGTTCTTTGTCTTTCTTTTGGTGAGTTGTATGAGTACTCTATATATTTTGGAAATTAATCCCTTATCTGATGTATCATTAGCAGTTATGCCATCCCATATAGTGGGTTCCCTTTCCATTTTGATGATTGTTTCTTTTGCTGTGCAGAAGCTTTTTAGTTTGATGTAGTTTCATGTGTTTTTTCCTTTGTTGCCTTAGATGGTGTATCAGTGAAAATTCTGCTGTGTATGATGTCTGAAATTTTGTTGTCTACATTTTCTTCTAGGATTTTTATGGAATCACGAGTCACATTTAAGTCTTTTATCCATTTTGAGTTAATTCTGTGTGTGGTGTAAGTTGGTGGTCTGGCTTCATTTTTTTCTTTTTTTATTCTCGAGGACATTTTTCCATTTTTTGTTCAGATAGATTGGGAAGGAGGGAAAGAGGAATATCTACGTGAAAGAGACACATCGAGTGGCTGCCTCTCGCATGATCCAACCAGGGCTGGGGACAAACTGTGACCGAGATATGTGCGTGCCCTTAGCGGGAATCTTTATTGTTGTATGTATTACAGATGTTCCTCACTTTTCCCCCATTGACCCCCTCCTCCCCTATCCCGCCCCTCTCCCACCTTTTCCCATACTATTGTCTGTGTCCATTGGTTATGCATATAAGTGCTTTGGTTTATTGCTTTCCACCCCCAACCCCTTTCCCTTTGAGGTTTGTCATTCTAGCAATAAATTTGTAGTTCTTAATCTTTTCACCTTTTTCACCCATTCTCCCAAACCCCCTCCCATCTGGCAACCAACAAAATGTTCTCTGTATCTATGAGAATGTTTCTGTTCTGCCTGTTCATTTTGTTTGTCGATTCCATTGTCGATAGATATGTATTCATTGCCATTTTGTTTGTTCATATATTTTATCTTTTTCTTCAAAAAGACCCTTCATCATTTCATATAATAACGGATTGGTGGTGATAAACTCCTTTAACTCTTTCTTGTCTGGGAAAGTCTTTATATGGCCATCCGTTCTAAATGACAGCTTTGTAGGATAGAGTAATCTTGGTTGTAGGTTCTTGCTTTTCATCACTCTGAATATTTCTTGCCACTCCCTTCTGGCCTGCAAAGTTTCTTTTGAGAAATCAGCTGACAGCCTTATGGGAACTCTCTTGTAGGTAACTAGCTGCGTTTCTCTTGCTGCTTTTAAGAGTCTCTCTTTGTCTTGAACCTTTTGCATTTTGATGATGATGTGTCTTGGTGTGGACCTCTTGGGGTTCATCTTGTTTGGGACTCTCTGTGCTTCCTGGACTTGTATGTCTGTTTCCTTCACCAAGTTAGGGAAGTTTTCTGCCATTATTGTTTCAAACAGGTTTTCAATTTCTTGTTCTTGCTCTTCTCCTTCTGGCACGCCCAAGATGTGAATGTTGGCACGCTTGAAGTTGTCCCAGAGGCTCCTTACACTATCCTCATTTATTTGGATTCCTTTTTCTTTTTGCTGTTCTTTTTTTTTTTTTTTTTTTTCCATTTTTTGTTCAGGTAGAGTGGGAGGGAGAGAGAGGAAGAGAGAGAGAGAGAAACATCGACGTGAAGGGACACATCGAGTGGTTGCCACCCGCACAACCGACCTGGGCCGGGGACAAACTGCAACCGAGGTACGTGCCCCTAGCGGGAACCGAACCCGGGTCTCTCAGGACCGCAGGCCGACGCTCTAACCACTGAGCCAAACCGGCCAGGGCTTTGCTGTTCTGATTGTGTGTTTTTTGCCTCCTTATATTTCAAATCAGTGGTTTTCTTTACGTACTCTACTATTGATTCTGTGTAAATTATTCTTTATTTCAGTTAAAGCCTCCTTCATTTCTTACTGCCTCCATCATTTCTGACTGGTCCTTTTTTATGCTCTTGAGGCCTGCACTAAGTTCACTGAGGTTCTCACTAAGTTCATTGAGCATCCTTATAAGCAGTATTTTGAACTCAGCATCTGTTAGGTTGCTTATCTCCATTTCGCTTAGTTCTTTTCTTGGGGTTTTGTTCTGTTCTTTCATTTGGGACCTGTTTCTTTGTCTCCTCATTTTGGCTGCCTCTCTGTGTTTGTTTCTGTGTATTACTTAACCAGCGGTATGGGGCTAGCTGAGACCAGATGCTGCTTGTTTGAAAGAATTTAGGAAAACCTGAAGCAGGATCCAAGACAGGCCAATCCTATGGTGAAGCAACTGGCAACAGCTTGGGTGGGCCTGAAAGTTGGGTGGGTTGGGGCCTCACCCAACTCAGGGAATCACCAGGGCGGAGCTACCAGTGTGAGCCAGGTTGCTGGTGTCTCAGATATGGCGACTGTCTGCTGCCCCAGGGAAGGGCTCACCAAAGGAACAAAGGCCTCTGGTTTGTCGGGGAGAAAGCCCCCTCTCCAGCCCTCGCTCCAATGCCAAACAGCTCAGTTCTTCCCTGTGAGTCTGATAAGTCCTTTGACCAGTGTATGAGAGTCAGAATTATTCCACATCCTTACCAGCACTGGTCAGTGTGTGTGTGTGTGTGTGTGTGTGTGTGTGTGTGTGTGTTGGTACGTGCCCCTAGCGGGAACTGAACCCGGGACTCTTTAGTCCGCAGGCTGTCGCTCCAACCGCTGAGCCAAACTGGCCAGGGCTGGTCAGTTTTTTAATACCATAACTGATTTTATTTTACTACATGTTTATATTTACTTACTGTTAAAAAGTATATCATTTTGTTCATTCCTGGTGGTATGTGGTGGAATTTAAGTCTCAGCTTTTTGATATCTAATTGTGAAGTGCCGCTCTGGCCAGTTTGGCTCAGCGGTTGGAGCGTTGGCCTGCGGACCAGAGAGTCCCAGGTTTGATTCTGCTAGGGGCACGTACCAAAAAATAATAATAATTATTGTGAAGTGCCTGTTTATGTTTTTAGCCCATGTTTTTAAAAAAGTGTTGCCCATCTTCTTGATTTGTAAGCGTTCTTTATGTATTCTGACTTCAAAGTCTTTGTCGGATATAAGTACGCTCTCCAACTCAGTGCCTTGCTGATAACATTTATTTATTTTAATAGAGTGGGAGGGAGAGAGAGAAAGAAACATCAACGTGAGAGGGACACATCGACTGGTTGCCCCCCGCACAACCCCAACCAGGGCTGAGGACAAACCGCAACCGAGGTACATGACCTTGGCCGGAATCGAACCTGCAACTCTTTGGTCTGAGGGCCGACGCTCCACCACTGAGCCAAACCAGCCAGGGCCTTGCTGATAACTTTTATTTTTAGGTTATAAGCTTGTATCCATTGTTCATTTTACTTGAGAAATAATATATTCACTTTCTCATAGGTTATGCTGGAAACCTTTGAAGTGCTATTTGAAGTGAAAGTTGTGCTACAATTCGAAATAGAAAAGTTGGATTTTTAAGACCAAAATTATAAGACAGATATCAAAAATATTCTCTCCAGATTTCTTTCTAGTACCTGATTTGTATTAATAATGAGTAATGCTACCAATTAATTTGTCATTTGTTTCATAAACTAACATGCAGTAAGGTTTTCTCTCAAAATTGCTTTTTTACCCTCCAATACTATTCTACTGTTTAAAGTAACAGTGCCAAAGTTGACATTTCTATCTTTTAAAAAAATTGACATACAGGAAATTTTATTCTCTTTCGTGTAAAGCTATTGAATTTTGAAAAATGCATAAAATATGCAACTACTATATAATCAAGATACAGAACAGTTTGTCATTCCCTAAAACCCACATTGCCTGTTGGTAGTCAACCCTTCCCCTCTACTTCTATCCCCTACAACCACCGATTGTTCTCTGTTCCTATCCTTTTTATTTTTCCAGAATATATAAATGGAGTCACACAGTATGTAGACTTTTTTTTTTATCCTCACCCGAGGACATTTTTCCTTTTTTTTTTTTTTTTGTGGTACATTCCCCTAGCGGGAACCGAACCTGGGACTCTCTGGTCCACAGGTTAACACTCAACCACTGAGCCAAAGTGGCCAGGGCCATTTTTCCATTTTTTGTTCAGACAGAGTGGGAAAGAGAGAGAGGAAGAGAGAGAGAAACATCGACGTGAAAGGGACACATCAGGTGGCTGCCACACGCACAACCTAACCAGGGCCGGGGACAACTGCAACCGAGGTACGTGCCCTTAGCAAGAACCGAACCCGGGTCTCTCTGGACCGCAGGCCAATGCTCTAACTGATAAGCCAAACTGGCCAAGGCAGTATGTGGACTTTGTATATTTTTTTTTCCTCACCCGAGGACATTTTTCCACTTTTTTGTTCAGATAGAGTGGGAGGGAGAGAGAGAGAGAAACATCAACGTGAAAGGGACACATCAAGTGGCTGCCACCCGCACGACCCAACCAGGGCCAGGGACAAACTGCAACCGAGGTACGCGCCCTTAGCGGGGAACCGAACCCGGGTCTCTCAGGACCGCAGGCTGACGCTCTAACCGCTGAGCCAAAGCGGCCAGGGCTATTTTTTTTTTCTACATAGCATAATGTATTTGAGATTCATCCCCACACCAAATAGATACACCCGGGTTATTGGATATTATGGTTTATTGCTTTTAAAAGCTGAGCAGTATTCTTTTGTGTGGATATACAATAGCTGGTTTAATCACTCACCAGTTGAAGGATATTTGGGTTGTTTCCAGTTTGAGAGTCATAAATAAAACAGCAATAAAAATTTGAGCCCTGGCCGGTTTTGGCTCAGCAGTTAGAGCGTCAGCCTGCAGTCCAGAGAGACTCAGGTTCAGTTCCCACTAAGGGCGCATACCTCAGGTGTACTTTGTCCCTGGCCCTGGTTGGTTGTGTAAGAGGCAGCCACTCGATGTGTCCCTTTCACGTCGATGTTTCTCTCTCTCTCTCATCCTCTCTCTCCCTCCCACTCTATCTGAACAAAATATAGAAAAATGTCCTCGGGTGAGGATTTAAAAAAAATAAATTTGTGGGTAGGCTTTTGTATCAGACTCCTCCTTCACTTTTATTCAGGAAAATTTTAGAGCTGGAAAGAGAGACCTTAGAGATTATTTGGTCCAAGAATTAGCAAACTATAACCCAACAGTCAATTTGGCTGTGGCCTATTTTTGTACTAAGAATAACTGTTACATTTTAAAGGGGTTTTAAAAACGAAGAATATTTAACAGATGCTTATATATATGTGGCCTAGATAAGTTAAAATATTTACTCTCTGGATCTTTACCAAAAAACTTTGTTGTTCATATTACAGATGAGGTAATAATATTTAAGGAAGCTAACTATAACAAAGTTATGAAAGTAGATTGTCTCATTTCAGGATTTTTTCCCCTCTTTCACATGTCCTTTATAATTATAACACGTACTATACCTAATTTAGGGGTTTTAATATGAGAAAGACAGTAGAGATTTTAGAATAATAAACCATGGACATTATTTAATGTTTAGATGCTAAGGAAATAAATAAGATTTAGATTAATTTAACTTGGAAGAGTCACGTAGAAAATGGCAGCACCTTGACTCAAATCTAGATCTAACCCCAGAGTTTTTCTTTTAACTTCTACATATATTTGACAACTGAAAGAAGTTATTGTTAATATTCCTCAAAATGAAACATAAAACAGATGGGGAAGCATCAGAATACAGTGGAAAGACTACAAACCTGAGTGATATTTGGGTTCAAATTTAAATCTACCACTTACAAGTTGTATGACCTTGGGCAGGTTATCTTTCTCAGCTTCAGTATCTCCATCTATAAAATTAAAACAGAAATATTTGTCTTGGGGGATTATTATAAAGATGAAATAAGGCAGGATATGAAAGCCAAAGCACCTGACAAAATATCTGGTATATGGGCTTCAGAAGTTACTGTTTCATTCACTCTGAACTGAAAATGCTTTCCCTTTTGGGTGTCTTTCATTTCTAGACGCCCATAGTGACCCTGTCTGGCCACAAGGAAGCAGTTTCCTCAGTTCTGTGGTCAGATGCTGAAGAAATCTGCAGTGCATCCTGGGACCACACAATTAGAATGTGGGATGTTGAGTCTGGCAGTCTTAAGTCAACTTTGGTAAGGCTTATAAATTCAGTGGTTCTCTGATTAACTTTGAGTTTTTAAGCAATAAGCCTTTAGAGATGATTACTTTCAGCCTACCATGGTTAAATGTCCTTTCCTTTTTTTTTATTTTAGACAGGGAATAAAGTGTTTAATTGTATCTCCTATTCTCCACTTTGTAAACGTTTAGCATCTGGAAGCACAGATAGGCATATCAGACTGTGGGATCCCCGAACTAAAGGTGAGTCATGTAATAACTAGTGGAGGAAAAATGTGTGTAAATAATATCAGTTTCTCTTCTCACTAGAGATGTGTATAAAAAAATCATTTTCTATATATTTTCTTTTGAGATTTGTTCTGACTACTACTAAAATTTAATAATTGTGATCTTGTTTGCTTTGTTCAGATGGTTCTTTGGTGTCGCTGTCCCTAACCTCACATACAGGCTGGGTCACAGCAGTAAAGTGGTCTCCTACCCATGAGCAGCAGCTAATTTCAGGTTCTTTAGATAACATTGTCAAGCTGTGGGATACAAGAAGGTAAATCCTACTTACAGTCCACAAAAGAAATATATCAATTGCCTATTGTACACAGAGAAAATGAAATGATAAATATTGATACCAAAAAGAAAAACCAGGATCAAAGGCATTTTCTTCAGGTTAATACGTTGTTTTTTGCCATCTGAAAGAATGTGATAGTTTTTTACCAAAAAAAGAAGAAATCCACATATTTATAAAATATACCTTTCTGACCTTGTTATGTAAAATAGGAAAAATAAAGTTTAGAAAAATTATCCTGAAACTTAATATAAATATAACTATAGAAGAAGAAGGCTAGTGGTCTTGGAATAAATGGAACTGTGATCAAATTATAAATTATATGTTAATAAAAAGTTAAATGAAAATATATTTTTTAGAGATAACCAGATATTGAAGATGTATTTTTAAATTCATGGACTAGTACTATGATACTACTGTATGCAGAGTGCCCCCAATAAAATGCATACACAATTTATTTATGTATTTTGACAAATAGGATGGAGAGGCATTAACCAAAAACATGTTTGTTATTTACTTTAAATCTGCTTTCTAACATCCTTATACTACCTTATACATGATTTGTTAATATCTAGAAGGTATATATATTTTAATTGGATACTTTATATAGCAATTACCATATGGTTTCTGATAATAGTAATTAAGTGCTATGAAGAAAATAAAGCAGAGTAAAGGGACACTTATTTGGGGAAGGCCTCTCTTTGAAAGTAGTTATTCTAGTAATGGATTGAACAATGTGAAAGTATGAGCAATGCAAACATCATGGCAGAAGGAAAAGCAGATAAAGTGGGGAAAATCTTTGCATACTGACAAAATAGTAAGAGAGCCAGTGTTGATAAGAGTGGAGTAAGCAAGGAGAGTGGTGGTACATGAGGCAAGTAGTGGTTTTATTGAGCACGGCCTTGTAAGCCACGGTAAGGAATTTGGGTTTCATTATAAGCGTGATGAGGAAGGCTTTGGAGGTTTTTGAGCAGAGGAGCAAGAATGAAAGCAGCGAGGATAATATAATTCAAGAGACAGAAAATGATGATTTGCACTATGGGGGCAGCCTTAGAGATAAGTGGTTGGATTTTAAGTGTCTTTTGAAGATAGCTCTTTGGCAGGATTGGCTCATAACTGAATACAGAGATTAAATTTGTAGTGCCCATAAGACATTCAGCTGTCAACCAATTGATTATATATACCAAACTCGGGAGAAGTTTGGCTAATATATAAATTTGGGGATTACTAGCATTTACATGGATAAAGGTTATATAAATCCATGATTTGGGGGTAAAAGTAAAGTAGTCACGGAAGTGTGAAAATGGGTCTAATTATAAACTTTTATAAATAAGCAACATTTTTCCTGAATGTATTTGTTATAGTAAATCTCAGTCATTTGTTAATGATATAGGAGAAACAGGAGAGGTGGTCAAGTAAATACCCAGAATTTTAATACTAAGTGGTTATAGAGGCAAGGATGGTGAACTCTCAAGTTTTCAGGAAAGTATAGGTGATTATTCATGTTTCTTTTAATACTATGAAATGCATATAACATGTCAACATTTTTATCTTTTAGTTGTAAGGCTCCTCTCTATGATTTGGCTGCTCATGAAGACAAAGTTCTGAGTGTGGACTGGACAGACACAGGGGTAAGTATTATTAGATAATTGATGAAGAGAAAAATATATCATTAGAATAAATCTGGTGTTTGTATTTGCAGAATAGTTTCAGTATATCTGGTATCTATAATTCTGTATTCTAAGTTTCCATTAATATTTTTGTTTGTTTGTTAATCCTCACCAGAGGATATTTTTCCATTGGTGTTTTTTGAGAGTGTGGGAGGGAGAAGAGGGGGGAGAGAGGGAGAAACAGAAGCATGGATGTGAGACAGAGACACATTGATTGATTGCCTCCCACATGACCCTGGGGCTGGGGATCAAACCTGCAACCCAGATATGTGCCCTTGACCAGGAATCAAACCCTTGACCTTTTGGTCTCTAACTGATGAGCCAAACCAGCCAAAGCTCCATTAATATTATTCATAAAATCTCACATCACATTCAAAGAAGGAACGAATTTGTCTTTTAATATTAGTAGTAAAATGTTTTAAATTTGAAGCAATTTTGTTCTCATGAGTATTTTAATGAAATGTTTCAAGTACATAAACTTGCTACTTTAATTAGATCAAGTATTTTGTAATTAATCTAAATAAAATGTTTCAAGAATTAACAGTTTAATTTTTTTATGTATATACATAAGCTCTTATTGCCTAAGAATTCTTTTTAGATATAGGTTAGGGCTACTTGGAAAATTTGTAACATCCATTTACCCACAAACAATTAATGTGCTGTACTTAATTTTCTTTTTTCATCCTCACCCGAGGACATTTTTCCATATTTTGTTCAGATGGGGGGGGGGGGGAGAGAAACATCGATGTGAAAGGGACACATCGTGTGGTTGCCACCCGCACAACCCAACCAGGGTTGGGGATAAACTGCAACCGAGGTACGTGCCCTTAGCGGGGACGGAACCTGGGTCTCTCTGGATCTCAGGCCGACGCTCTCACTGCTGAGCAAACCCGGCCAGGGCAACTTAATTTTCTTAAATGGGTAAAACTGTATTACCCTTCAAACTTTTTTAAAATTTTTACCTGAGAATTTTTTCCATTGATTTTTAGAGAGAGTGAAAAGGAGGATAAGGAGGGGCGGAGAAAGAGAGAGAAACATTGATTGGTTGCCTCCTGCATGTGTGCCCCAACCAGGGCCGGGGATCAAACATGCATCCCAGGTATATGCCCTTGATTGGGAATCAAACCTATGACCCTTTGGTGCGAAGGCCAATGCTGTAACTACGGAACCACACCGGCTAGGGTACCTTTCAGACTTTTTATTACATGTCTTAGCAAATGCGTCATAAAAAGTACAGTAGCGCCCTGGCCAGTTTGGCTCAGCGGTTAGAGCGTCGGCCTGCGGTCCGGAGAGTCCCGGGTTCGGTTCCCGCTAAGGGCACGTACTTCGGTTGCAGTTTGTCCCCGGCCCTGGTTGGTCGTGCGGGTGGCAGCCACTCGATGTGTCCCTTCACGTCGATGTTTCTCTCTCTCTCCCTTCCTCTCTCTCCCTCCCACTCTATCTGTAAAATATCCTCGGGTGAGGATAAAAAAAAAAAAAAAAAAAGTACAGTAGCATATTACACCTTAACCAAATCAAATGATCACTTTTAAAGCTTTCATATACTGTATTATATTAGTGAAAATAGATGTAACCAGTCCATTTAACTGTTAACCCTCAATGCAAGTTAACTGCTTATCCATAATTGCTCTGCAATCAGAATCACCAGTATTTATTTACTATCATATGAAATAACTGTCTTTATTTCTGTTTGTGTGTTGTTGTTTTTCTCCTTTTATGCAGTTACTTCTGAGTGGAGGAGCAGACAATAAATTGTATTCCTACAGATATTCACCTACCACTTCCCATGTGGGGGCATGAAAGTGAATAATAAATTTGACTGCAAAGATTCTTTCTATAAATGTAATTGATAAAGAATATTCAGATTATATCAGTACAGATCACCCTTGATAATAGTTATTACTGTCTTTTTATTTTGTATTTATTATATAATAGTCTGCATTTATAAAATGTAAAATGTGGCTTGCATTCTCTACCTTATGTAAACTCTTGAAATTAAACTGAGTTTTTTATTTCTTTTTAAAGGTACTGATTTGAATTAAGATTTGCTTTTGAAATGCTATAAAAGCAGTTATTAAAAATACAGTATGTGTCCAGTTTTTTTTTAAATTTCTGATGGAGAAACTTTTAAAGTTAGCTGTTTTTAAAAAGCATCTAAAACACTAGTAAATTTTAATACAGAAACAATTAGAAATACAATTTGCTTTTGGTAAAATAAGCGATGTCTAACTGTAATAAGACTTTGTTGGTATCCAGAACATTAGAACATGTAGATGTTACCAATTTGTTGAAATGCTTTAAACGAAGTACTTTGTATTAAAGATATGTCGCAATCCTTTAGAAACCAGGAATCCCTCTAATCCTTATTCTTGTATATAGATAAGAACAGATTCTTTAGACCATACCTTTCATTCAGAATTAGATACATTCTATAAATTGTATGGCATTCATCTGTATTCATGTGTCATATACCAAATAATTAAAAGTAAATGTCCTCTTCAAATGTAACTTCCATCTTTATTGGATAGGAATTCTTTAAGCAGAGCACTTCAGCTTCTGAATAATATATGGGAAATCAGTTTGATTTCATCACTAGACTCTAATGCAATATATCTTTTTTTTTTTTTTTAATCCTCACCTGAGGACATGTTTTTCATTGATGAGAGAGAGAAACACCAATTGGTTGCCTCTCATGTGCATTGACGGAATAGAATTCGCAATCCTGTGCATAGGTTGACGTCTAACCAACTGAGCCACACCAACCAGGGCAAAATATATCTTTCCTTAAAATTAAAAAATTTAAATTAGAGATATATACCACATGATCTCACTTATAAGTGGAATCTAAAGAACAAAATAGTCCTGGCCAGTGTGGCTCAGTGAATTAAGCGTTATCCCATGAACTGAGAGGTTCAATTCCAGGTCAGCATATGCCCAGGTTACTGGTTGGACCCCCAGTATGGGGCGTGCAGGAGGCAGCCTATGGATATTTCTCTCATCGATGTTTGTTGTTTTTTTTTAATCCTCACCCAAGGACATTTTTCCATTTTTGTTCAGATAGAGTGGGAGGGAGAGAGAGGAAGAGACAGAAAGAGAAACATCAACGTGAAAGGGACACATTGAGTAGCTGCCTCCCAACCTCAACCAGGGCCAGGGACGAATCGCAACCAAGGTACGTGCCCTTGACTGGAATCGAACCCACAATTCATTGGCCTGTGGGCTGACACTCTTAACTGCTGAGCCAAACCGGCCAGGGCATCTCATGAATGTTTCTATCTCCCCCTCTCCCTTCCTCTCTATCTAAAAAAATAAAAATATATTGAAAAAACAAAGAACAAAATATGGCTACAGATGTGGATACATGGAACAGAATAATAGATCTGGGGGCTGGGGATGGGAGGAACAGGAAGAGATTAACCAAAGAACATATATGCATAACCCATGGACACAGAAAATAGCATGAAGAAGGCCTAGGGTGCAGCAGGGGGTTGGGTGGAGGGTGGCAAAAGGAGAAAAACAGACATCTGTCAACAAAATTAAAAAATTTTTTAAATTAGAAATTGACATACAATATTATATTAGTTTCGGACTTCCAGTCAAGATGGCAGCGTAGGTAAACACAGTATCGCGTCCTCCCACAACCACATCAAAGTTACAACTAAACTACAGAACCACCATCATTCAAAACCGGCTGAAATCGAGCTGAATGGAAGTCCTACAACTATGAAATTGCAGCAGCCACATCCAGACCTGTAGGAGGGGTGGAGGCGCAACGGTCTGGTCCCACACCCAGTGTGGCGGATAAAAATCAGGAGGATACCTCCAATAGGAAGCTCCTCCCTGAGGACTGAGGAGTCCCCGTCCCACACCAGGTGCCCTGCTCAGGGTTCCAGTGCCAGGAAGAGAAGTCCCCATAACTTCTGGCTGGAAAAACCAGCGGGAACTGAGGCTCAGGGAAGCTGACACAGCTGGAACCTCAGGCAGCTCCTTGTGCCCATGCACAGACTTATCAGACTCACTCCCTCTAAGCTTGGAGGGGAGGCAGCTCAGGGGGCACCAGAGACATACAGGGAAGAACTGATCTGTTTGGCACTGGAACGAGGGCTGGAGAGGGGGCTTTCTCCTGGACAAACGTGTTGTCAGAGGCCTTTGTTCCTTTGGTGAGCTAGACAGCCGCCATATCTGGGACTCCAGCAACCTGGCTCACACTGGTAGCCCCACCCTGGTGATCCCCTGAGGCCCCGCCCCACCCAACTTTCAAGCCCACCCAAGTTGTTGCCAGTTGCTTCACCATAGGATTGGCCTGTCTTGGATCCTGCTTCAGGTTTTCCTAAATTCTTTCAAACAAGCAGCATCTGGTCTCAGCTAGCCCCATACCGCTGGTTAAGTAATACACAGAAACAAACACAGAGAGGCAGCCAAAATGAGGAGACAAAGAAACAGGTCCCAAATAAAAGAACAGAACAAAATCCCAAGAAAAGAACTAAGCGAAATGGAGATAAGCAACCTAACAGATGCTGAGTTCAAAATACTGCTTATAAGGATGCTTAATGAACTTAGTGAGAACCTCAGTGAAATTAGTGCAGGCCTCAAGAGCATAAAAAAGGACCAGTCAGAAATGATGGATGCACAGTCAGAAATGAAGGAGGAGGCACTAACTGAAATAAAGAATAATTTACATAGATTCAATAGTAGAGTAGGTAAGACCAAGAAGCAAACCATCGATTTGGAATATAAGGAAGCAAAAAACGCCCAATCAGAACAGCAAAAAGAAAAAGGAATCCAAATAAATGAGGATAGTGTAAGGAGCCTCTGGGACAACTTCAAGCGTGCCAACATTCACATCTTGGGCGTGCCAGAAGGAGAAGAGCAAGAACAAGAAATTGAAAACCTGTTTGAAACAATAATGGCAGAAAACTTCCCTAACTTGGTGAAGGAAACAGACATACAAGTCCAGGAAGCACAGAGAGTCCCAAACAAGATGAACCCCAAGAGGTCCACACCAAGACACATCATCATCAAAATGCAAAAGGTTCAAGACAAAGAGAGACTCTTAAAAGCAGCAAGAGAAACGCAGCTAGTTACCTACAAGAGAGTTCCCATAAGGCTGTCAGCTGATTTCTCAAAAGAAACTTTGCAGGCCAGAAGGGAGTGGCAAGAAATATTCAGAGTGATGAAAAGCAAGAACCTACAACCAAGATAACTCTATCCTGCAAAGCTGTCAATTAGAATCGATGGCCATATAAAGACTTTCCCAGACAAGAAAGAGTTAAAGGAGTTCATGACCACCAAACCGCTATATGAAATGATGAAGGGTCTTTTTGAAGAAAAAGATAAAATATATGAACAAACAAAATGGCAACGAATACATATCTATCGACAATGGTATCGACAAACAAAATGAACAGGTAGAACAGAAACATTCTCATAGATACAGAGAACATTTTGTTGGTTGCCAGATGGGAGGGGGTTTGGGGGAATGGGTGAAAAAGGTGAAGGGATTAAGAAGTACAAATGCATTGCTAGACTGACAAACCTCAAAGGGAAAGGGGTTGGGGGTGGGAAGAAATAAACCAAAGAACTTATATGCATAACCAATGGACACAGACAATAGTGTGGGAAAAGGCAGGAGGGGGGGTGGGACTGGGGGGGGGGTCAATGGGGGAAAAATGAGGAACATCTGTAATACATTCTACATTCAACAATAAAGATTTAAATAATAATAATAATACAAGAATAAATTGTTTCACCTATTCAAAAAAAATTAGATGAGTTTCAAGTATATAATCCTGTGATTAGACACTTACATAATTTACAAAGTGATTACCCTGATAAATCTAGTACCCACCTGACATATAGTTATTACAGTATTTTAGAGTACATTCCCTATGCTGTACTTTATATCATTGTGACTATTCTGTAACTACCAATTTGTACTTCTTAATCTTTTCACCTCTTTCACCCATCTCTGCAACCCCCCTTACCTCTGCCAGCCATCAAAATGTTCTCTGTATCTAAGTCTATTTCTGTTATACTTGTTCGTTTATTTTGTTTTTTAGATTCCGCATATAAGTGAAATCACCTGGCATTTGTCTCTCTCTGATTTATTTCACTTAGCACAATACTCTCTAGGTCTATCCATGTTGTTGCAGATGGCAAGGTTTTATTCGTTTTCATAGTCCATTTTATATATGCACCACTTCTTTATTCATTCATCTATTGATGGAAACTTAGGTTGCTTCATCATCTTGTCTATTGTAAATAGTGCTGTAGTGAACATATGGATGCATATGTCTTCAATTTAGTGTTTTGGATTTCTTCAGATACCCAGAGGTGGAGTTGTTGGATCCTTCTTTGTTTTTTGTTAATAACCTTTGTTTTAAAGTCTCTTTTGTCTGGAATAAAGTACTGCTATAGCAGATTTTGTTTTGTTATATTTCATATTCATGAAATATTTTTCCATCCATTTCCCTTCGGTCATTGTGTGTCTTTTGATTGTCACCAGATTTTTTTTTTTTTTTTTTTTGGTATGTGCCCCTAGCGGGAACCAAACCCGGGACTCTGGTCTGCAGGCCAATGCTCCAACCACGTGTCTTTTGATTGGAGCATTTCAAAGGAATTATTGATATATAAGTAATTATTGCTATTTTATTACTTTTTTGTAATTGTTCAACTCCACAGAACCCATAAGGCACTAATGGACAGCCAACCCATTCCCATGGTGCTCTGACTGAAAACAAATTAGCTTAGATATATGATGGACTAAAATCCCACTACCTAAGGCTCCAAGCAGTGAGAGGAAAAGCCATCAAATACTATTTTTGAACTTTTTTTTTCCTCCTCTTTTGTTAACATTTTTTTCTTTATTGATTTTAAAGAAAGGAAGTGAAAGGGAGAGAGGGAAACATGGATGAGAGAGAACATAGATTGGCCTCCTGCACGCCCCCTACTGGGGATCAGGCCCACAACCTGGGCACATGCGCTGAAAGAATCCAACGGGACCTCTCAGTCCATGGGACGATGCTCAATACACTGAACCACACTGGCCAGGTTCAGCTGCCAGTCTTATGGGATCTCCCTTGTAGGTAACTGCTTTTCTCTTGCTTCTTTTAAGATTTTTCTTTTGTCTTTAATCTTTTGCATTTTAATTACGATGTGTTTTGATGTGGGCCTCTTTGGGTTCATCTTGTTTGGGATCCTCTGCATTTCCTGGACTTGTTGTACCAATTTCCTTCACCAGGATAGAAAAGATTTCTGTCACTTATTCTTTTTTTTTTTTTTAAATCCTCACCCGAGTATATTTTTCTATTTATCTTCAGATAAAGTGGGAGGGAGGGAGAGAGAAATATCAGCATGAGAGACACATGAACAGGTTGCGTCCCACACAACCCTGGCCAGGGCCAGGGGAGAAACGCAACCGAGGTACGTGCCCTTGACCGGAATTGAACCTGCAACTCTTTGGTCTGTAGGCCTATGCTCTAACCACTGAGCTACCTGGCAGGGCAATTTCTGTCACTTTTTCAAATAGGTTTTCAATTTCTTGTTCTCTCTCTCCTAGCACCTCCGTGATGCGAATGTTGGTACACTTGATGTTGTCCCAGAGTCCTTACATTATCCTCAATTTTTTTTTGTTTTTTTCTTTTTGTTGTTCTGATTGGATATTTTCTGCTTTATTTTCCAAATTGCTGATTTGATCCTCTGCTTTATCTAAGCTACTGTTGATTCCCTATAATGTATTCTTCATTTCTGACTGGTTCTTTTTTTATGTTTTCCATATCCTTTTTTATGCTGTTGAAGTTCTAAGTTTCTTGAGCATCCTTATAACCATTGTTTTGAACTATGTATCAGCTTGTTTGCTTGTCTCCATTGCATGTAGTTGTTTTTCTGGAGATTTCTCCTGTTCTTTCATTTGAGACCTGTTTCTTTGTCTCCTCACTTTGCCTGCTTCCCTGTGTTCGTTTCTAGGTATTAGGTAGAGCTACCTCATCTCCTGCTCTTGGTAGAGGACCCAATGGTACAACCTCCTGACTTGGTCATGCCAGGTATGCCCCCCCCCCATGTGGACTTTGTGCACTCTCCTGTTGTAGTTGAGCCTTGACTGTTGTTGGAATGTCACTGAAAGGGAAAGAACACCAGGCCAATTGGCTGTGAGGACTGGCTGTGACTACAATGGAGGAGCTGCTGTGCAGGGGCCAATCCAAAGGAGCAGGACTCACCTCAGGGGATCTTTGGTGCCCACTTGAGTCTTCCCCTTGAGTGTTTTGCTTGTGGAGGTGGTCAGGTTATAACCCAGCATAGTCTTAAGCTGTCCACTGGGTACACTGGCTCTAGGGCCTCCTGGGAGGTGCAGGCCAAAGTCAGCCACCACCTGTGCCCTGCCTGGGACCACCTGGCATGAACTTTAAAGCAATGTGTAGATGACTATTACTTATGCTGAGCTTGGAGTGCCCAGAAGAGGTGAAGTTGTGAACCGAGGCTGGCTGCCACTAGTGCCAGACCTGGGGCCACTTAGCAAGAGATATAGGATACACAGGGGCCAGATGCTGCTTGTTTGACAGATTTTAGGAAGTCCAAAAGCATGAGCCAAGAGAGGCTGTTTGTATGGAAAAGCACTGAAAAATGGCTTGGGTGTGCCTACAAGCTGGGCGGGGCAGGGTCTCAGGGAATCACCAGAGTGGGGCAAACAGTGTTAGCCAGGTTGAAGGAGACTCAGATATAGTGCCTGCCTTCCAGCTCTGTGGAGGAAGGGCTAAGCAAAGCAACAATGGTCTATGGCAGTACTTCTGTCTGGGGGAAAGCTGCCCCTCCAGCCCTGTTCCTGAAGCCTGACAGTTCACTTCCTCCCCATAAGTCTCTAGAACCATTCAAGCTGCTACCCCAGCACTGGAGCTCAGAGTGAGTGAGTCCAAGTAAATCTGTGTGGGGGCCCTTTGAGAGAACTGCCTGAGACTCCAGAAGCCCTCTGTCTCAGTCATCCACAATCTCTGCTGGTTTTCACAGGCAGACATTAAGGGACCTCTCTTCCCAGTACTGGAACCCTGAGCTAGGGGTTCTGGTGTGGTGGTGGGACCCCTGGCTCTTCAGGAGACCTCTGGAGTCCAGCTATCTCTCCTGATTTGTAATGGTCTCACCTGGGTGTGGGACCAGCATGTTCTGTGTTTCTGTCCTCCTGCCAGTCTGGATGCAGCTTCTTTATATCCTTAGTTAGTTGTAGGACTATTCAGTTAGATTTCAGGCAGTTCTGAATGATGGTTTCTCTGTAGTTTAGTTGTAATTTTGATGTGGTTTGGGAGGTTCTGAGTACAGCGTTTACCTACGCCAACATCTTGACCAGAAGCCCCCTAATGCAATATATCTTACACAAGGTTCCATCACAGAGGTCTAGGAAACAACAGCTATACTTGGCTGCAGTTGAGAGCCAAATCAACAGTGGATTTAACCAGGTGGGAATTTAGTTCTTGTGTGTAGTGGTGCAGGGCTGGTACAGTGGTTTTGTTCCACACTTCTTAGGGACTCAGGTGCCCTCTGCCCCTATAATATGGTCCTCGTGTAGACCAAGAGCTAGGGCTCCAATTACATCTTTTTTTTTTTTAAATCCTCACCTGAGGATATTTTCCCATTGATTTTCAGACAGAGTGGGAGGAAAGAAGGGAGAGAGAGAAACATCAATGTGAGAGAGACACATCGACTGGTTGCCTCCTGCACAACCCCTACAGGGGCCGGGGATCAAACCCACAACCGAGGTATATGCCCTTGACCGAGAATTGAACCTGTGACTCTTCAGTTCACAGACTGATGCTCTAACGGCAGAGCCAAAATGGCCAGGGCATTTCTTTTTCTTTTTTTTAAATTAATTTTTAGAGAGAGAGGGAGAGAAACATCGATTAGAGATAACAATTGACCGAGTGCCTCCTGCATGCCCCTCACTGGAGATCGAGCCCACAACCCAGGTATGTGCGCTGAATGGAAATCAAACTGGTAACCTCTTGGTGCATGGGACAACATTCAACCAACGGAGCCACACCAACCAGGACACATCACTTCTTAATAATAGGACATTTTAATGTCCAAAGAGTGAATATAGGTAACTGGAAAATTCATACCCAAAGTCTGTTTATCTCATTTAGTGCAGACTGGTGTAAATATCATATCTGTAGTTTCCTGAAATCTTTTAATTTTCAGAGAACAGAGGTAAATTTATAATTCTATTCTGAATGGTCCCTGAATGAGCCTTACAGAGTTATTTAAAAATATCTTTCTTAACTCACCCAACCTAGACTGCTCAAATGTAGTATACATACACTAGGTTGTTAAAATAAAGGTAAAGAGGCCTATTTACAAGACAAAGGACCAAGAAGGAAGTGGCATCAAGTACAGGTTCATATGTGCTGGCATATTTATAACCCCATAATTGATGATTGGTAAATTACTGTCCTCCTCCATAATTGATTGGGAAAGTCACTGTATGCCCTCTAGCTGAACCTGTTTAGTCAAAATAACCTCAGTAAATTGGAATACTCCCTGAGCCAAGAAATTGTTGGGAGCCGGCTCCATGTCTGACAGAGTCCACAGAGCCCGGAGGTTTTGAGTCAGAGACTTGACCTTCCCCACAATCTCAAGGAATTAGGCTTGCATTGTGTTTGTGCAGCTTGGGCTAAGTGTGACCCAATGTACCTTGAAAATACCTGAAATACCTGGGTGTGCCTGGGTGTTCCTGTTATTTGTAAGGCAAACTAATTCTATACAGCATTGCTGTGGCCCTGGGCATTATATCAAGAGGATCCTATTTTCTGTAAGGCATGTAATAAAGTATATCAGGGCTGATTCCAAAGACTCTGTCACAGGGGTGTTTGGAATCAGACGCCGGCTGGCTAATAAACGGCTCTTATTTGGACTTCAATTCTCTAGTGGTCTTTGACGCTGTCATACCACAACACATATCGGTTGTCAATCTTTGTTTCCAGGCAGGATAATTCCTGGGTCAGGCATTCTCCCTTAGGATGGGCATAACACTAGCAACCAAGTCCCTTAGAGAAAGATTATCTGACTGATCTCTGTCAAATTCTCTCCTTGTGTAATTTAAGGTGGTTAGATCTTATTCCCCAAACAGGAAGAACATAGGAGGCCCATACAAGCATAGAAAACTCAGTCCTCTTTTTTTTCAAAATTGATTTTTCAAGAAAGAGGAAGGGAGAAGAAAGAGAGGGAGGGAAAGAAACATCAATCGGTTGCCCCTGCATGCAACCTCAACCAGTGATTGAACCCGCAACCTGGGTATGTGCCCTGACCAAGAATTGAACCCACCACCTTTTGAACCCACCACATTTTGGTATAAGCAATGGCACTCAAACCAACTAAGCCATACCGCCAGGACAGACTCAGTCCTCTAAACACATTACTCTCCTAGCTCCCATCCTCTGCCTTTCCTTCAAAAGTAAGTCTCATTTTCCACGGTCCATTTTCCTTAATTTAATAAGGGAGAGACAGCCCTGGCAGGTTTGGGTCAGCAGTTAGTTTCATCGGCCTGTGGTCCAGAGAGACCCGGGTTCGGTTCCCGCTAAGGGCATGTACTTCAGTTGCAGTTTGTCCCCAGCCCTGGTTGGGTTGTGCGGGTGGCAACCACTCGATATGTCCCTTTCACGTCAATGTTTCTCTCTCCCTCCCACTCTAGCTGAACAAAAAAACGAAAAAATGTCCTCAGGTGAGGATAAAAATAAATAAATAAGGGAGAGACAGGGCATTACATGCATTTATTTATCCTAAGATTCTTGGGGAAATGAGTGGAGCTGCTTTCCTAGCACTTGGTTAAGT